GAGAGATGAATGATTCGTTCTATAGTGCAAATCTAAGTTGAAGCCAGCTCTACAAAACGGTACCTAAAGCAAGGCAAAAGACTTCTTGGGAATAGAGTTATTAACGATCAAACGTTCGATACATACTTTTGGGACACCCTGTATAAATTTTGATACGGCCGATCCAAAATCTATGTTCTTCATCTCGAAGAATTTTTTCAAACGGGGACATAAGTTGACAAATTTGCCTTTTCTACACACAAATGAAACAAGCGTCCTAAGTCTTTTGCACGTGAGACTAAGCACTGCTCATCGCTGCAACAAGTAGCTACCGCTGAAGGTTGCCACACCCGTGTGTAGCAGAGGCCGATTCGTCGAAAAAAAAATGCACGTCTTTTTACACAAGCGCTTTGCGATGAAATGGTCAACATTTCAAGAGCTACATACCTACACACTCTAGGAAAAATGTCAAAAAATAATGTGCACTCTGTTTGATCGTTAATGCTAGGTTCTTTCATAAATAATGCGCGTTTTCTAAGCTTCAACTTTGATACAAAAATAATTCTTATCAATACCACCTCTTTAGGTGCGACAAAAACTGCAAACAGGAAACCTCTTGCTAGACATTGCGTACTTCGATGTAAGTGTAGTCACCTTGGCAAAGATTTTTTAACCGACTGCCAAAAACTTTTTCTGGGAAGTTTGGCTTGAGAGGGCATAACTTACTCTAAAATATACTGAGATGGCGCGAACTTTGTTCATTGTATATCATGGATGTTTTACGAAGAATTATGGCAGAATTGAAAGTACCCACTTTCTACTGCATTTTCGAAGAGGAAGAACTGTGTTTTCTAGAATTCTCCAATTTTTTCTTCTTTTAATACGTAAATAGATCCTACAGCAACAAAAAGAGTTTGGAGATTTTTTCATACTGTAAATCTAAGACGAAAAATAGTTCTACAGAGGTACTTGAAGTTCAACGAAAGATATCAGAGCAAGAGAGTATTATCGACTAAACAGTGCAACATCATTTAGGGACACCATGTATATGGTCATTACGGCTAATTTCTCTAAAAGATAAGTATGTGAACAAATTTTTAGTGTCTTCATGCTGACACATATAAACTTCAGAGAGAGAGATTCGAACTCGAAACAAATGTCTATCTACCATAAGAGACTCAAACTGCTCCTTTTTTTGATGGAAATATCTTGTATCAGAGACTGCCCGCTTATTTGGTACACTGCACTTTCATCACTGCAAGCCCCCTATCGCTCATGATCTCACAATCAGTCCAGTGCTTGTTGGCCGTTCTTTTTGCAATCCAACTTCTTTTTTTGGTGATCAAGACTCAAACGTTAGCAACAACATCTCCCCCTTTGCGGTTATCTAGCACAAGCTCTTTTGCAACCTACACATTATACTTGAGGAAATTATGAACTCTATGTAACAATAAATAAATAAATAAATAAATAAATTCGAAAGTTTTTTCGAATATCCGAATATCGAATAATATTCGTCAATTGAAATTCGCGACTATTCGATTACAAAATATCATTCCAAAATTGAAAACTTCGAATCGAATGACATTTGAATATCGAATGTCATTCGTTAATCGAATTTCGAATATCATTCGGTTCTTATGTATTATTCAATTTTCGAATGGTACTCGAATGATTTATGTCAATGAGACAGCGTTCGAGAGATCAAAACATCTGAGAATATATTGTTTCATGTAAGTACCGAAAATAGGTCTTTTATGTTATTAGGTTGTCCGGAAATTAATGCAGGTTTTGAATTCCAACTGCAATAATACATAAACTTCTCATTTCTAAGTAGGTTGCAAGGTACCATTTGATAGAACAAAGCCAGCTCTACCAGATGGCTATCTTGCTTTAGCAATAGCTCTGATCCACAACGAGTTTCACGCCAAAAACTAAAAACATTCAAGTGTCCGAAAAATTGAGAAAAATCGTAACTCGGTTCCTAAAAATCCTATAAAAATTCTAACTTGCTCACGTAAACATGATCCACATAGAGCATCTATATACGCCGTTGCCGTATTTTTTTCTTAATTTTTCGGACACTTGAATGTTTTTAGTTTTTGGCGCGAAACTCGTTGTGGATCAGAGCTATTGCTAAAGCAAGATAGCCATCTGGTAGAGCTTGCTTTGCTCTATCGAACGGTACCTTGCAACCTACTTAGAAATGAGAAGTGTATGACTTATTGCGGTTGGAATTCAAAACCTGCATTAATTTCCGGACAACCTAATACAATTTACGATGAAATGCGTTTAGTGGTGACCTGAAGAGAAAAAACCTAAAAGCGTAATCCTGTGACGGTTGCGAAGAGATTTTTCAACTTCAAAGGGGTTTATGTATTCTCATTGAGAGTTGTGGATTGATATACAGTATGCAGATCTTCTGAACTTAACTTAGACTGACAGTATGGAGCGATTTATTTTTATTGATCGCTTGCCACTATTGTAGAATTACTGTAGGAAAACTGATGGAGGGGTTTTGAGACATCAAAAGCCTTTGCCCAAGAATGGGAATCAAAAAGGCCGAATGTCTTACATTAGGCTTCTGGACACTCACTATGTTTAGAATTTGCAATGCTTTATTTTACAACTTATGCCAGGTACACCGTAACAAGTGTTTTTCACGCTTAAAACGTGCTTGCACATTAAAAAAGCTTGATAACTCGTGTGTACTATACATGAGTTATACTACAGTTGTACCACAACGAGTTGTACTACACAAGACAACAACACACTGTGTAGTAAAAAATCAGCATGAGTAGAGCTGTTACATAGATTTTAGATTTTTTCAAAGGAAATTCTTTTAGATGTCTTATTTCGCAGTTGTTCTAAATATTGGAACTTCCTATCGTGATAACACAGTAAATAAAACAAGTATGACTCGCTTTCTGCTGCAGTTGTAAGCTGAGGAACCTCTGGGTAACATCCCTACAGGAATGTTACCCAGAGGTTAAAAAAGACTACGTGAGAGGTATTATCGATCAAACAGTGTGTAGATACTTTTGGGATTCCCGTTTATGTTGTGGATATCGAATTCCCGAACATTTGATGCTCATCGAATTTTTGAGTAGTCAACTCCCATCGAATTTCTGAATATTCGGTGCCCATCGAATTCAAATATTCAATGGACATCGAATGATCGAATCAATGGCTATCGACTATTCGAATATCACATGTTATTCGAAAGTTGAGATTTTGAATATTTGACTTTCGAATTATATCATTATAATTATTATTCTACTACCAAATATTATTCGAAATATTAGAATTTTGAATATTCGAATTTTCCAGTCATTCGCATTCGAATGATTTATTCGAATAATCGGATAATCATTCGATTTAGTCCGAAGCATATTCCACATACCCGCAGGGTCAAGCGTGGGGTGTGGCACGCCATACCTAGGGGGGGGGGGTCGTATTGAGGTTAAAACGGGAAGGGGGTCGTTATTGAATGATACTGATAATAGGATAACATGTTTTGTAAGCAGTTTGCCAGAAGCCATATGCGAAATACAAGCACATGAATTTTGACTCGTTATCGTATATCTGCTGTAGCATGCCAAGCATAGGAACTAATATATTCAAATTAGCATGTCAAATAACCCCTGTTGACGAAGTTTGGGCGAATTTTGAAATTCCCAGATAATGGTTCACCAGAGTGAGGTGGTCATTTTCGAACATGATTAACTTCATTTCGAGGATCAATTAGATATATCTTTTGGCACTCCCTACAAAGCAGCACTTCCTTTTACACCCCAAAAATTCCGCTTCAAAAGACCTCCAAACTGTGGAATTGAAGCCAACGAAAATCTTGTTTTTTCCATTTTTCGCTTTTTATGACTGTGCTTTCACCAGTTGCTATTCAAGGTAAAGAAGACGATTAAGCTCAAATCACTTCTGTGAATTTTACGAGCTTCAAGCTATCGAATCATGTAGATATCACTGGCTAGAAATGTTTTTTGACATAGTTAATGGGGTGTAGCACAACCCCAAAAAGTTGTGGCTGCCACAGCTATTCTGGGGTTGTGCCACACCCCATTAACTTACCTTCAAAAACATTCTTAGCGAGTGATACTTATATGGTACGATAGCTCAAAGCTCGTAGATTTCACATGAGTGATTTGAGCTTAGTCGTCTTCATTGCCTTGAGTAACAGCTGGTGAAAGCACAGCCATTAAAAGCGAAAAATGTAAAAAACAAGATTTTGGTTGGTTTCCAATTCCACAGTGTGAAGGTCTCTTGGAACGGGATTTCTGGGGTGGACAAAGAAGGGGTGCTGCTTTGTAGAGAGTGCCAAAAGATGTAGCTAATTTATTTTCGAAATGAAGTTAATCATATTCGAGAACGACCACCTGACCCAGGAGGACCAGTATTTGGAAATTGCAGAATTCGCCCAAACTTCGCGCCCAGGGTTTTAGTTTTAAATATATTGGTCGCTACGCTTGGTAGGGGGGGGGGGAGTCGTATATACCAAAACGCAGGGCTCCGGAGCGCTCTAGAGCGCGAAGTAGCAGACTCGTGCCATTTACCCGCCAGAGGTATCCCCTCGATTTCTGAGTGCTTGACCCTGCATACCCGTTATCGAGCTAAGACATCGAGAGGAAAATGTTAGACTACACCGTACATTTTAGACGTTTACAGATAACATATTCTACGCTACTTCCTCGAATTATTGTGACTTTGCATCTTCTGAGCAGCTTGTTATAAGCGGAAAGAATAAAACATATCAAACATCTAATCGTAAGCGCTGTACAGGCACCAATTAATGGTTTACGTTGTGACGACAGACTTGATTGAAGACCTAAATAAAAAAAACGTAAAAGTTCTGCACGACCGAAAAGATCTGCGCAGCACAAAACAAGACGAAGAAAAAATAGACCTCGAAAAGGATCATAAATTTGACGTTTTCTAATTAGATTTAGCTAAACGTTCTTGACTTTTTCGGCTAATGTTCTATTGAATTGTACTTTGTCTCCAAAAAATTACAGGATAATGTACCAGCTTTGTAATTTTGAACTCAACAAGATGGTGTTTCTCTTCTTACTTGTGTTGGCATCAGTTGCTACTGCTGAAAATGAGGAGATGGACCTGCTGCTTGTCCAAGCGGTTATCATTTTTAAAACATTTAGTTGATAAAAGGACAGCTGCACTCTGTATGTTACAGATTTGGCGTCATGGCGACCGTTCACCGCGGAAAATCTATCCGAATGATCCCATTAAGGAGAAGGATTGGACGTTTGGAGGAGGAGGCTTTGCACAGCTTTCACCTGTACGTGTTTTATGCAAAGAATCATACTTACCCATAAACAAGCTAAGGCTGCTTGTACTTTTGTGCAGGTCACTTTTGGCGTAGTGCATATTAAACACTTGGCTTTGTACAGCTGAAAGTTTACGAAAGAGTGCCTTTTGCGGTACCGCACACGAAGTGGCATAACGCCCAATTTCGCCGACACGAGGCGCTGAAACGCAGAACGCTACGCCGTTGAGCCGGGTGCCCATTACATTTTCAACCTTGAGGAGGAAAAAGCGTATTGTAAATGTGCTTTTCTAGAATACCCACTTCCAAATGCCACGAGTTTGGCACTGATTTTGCACTAGCGAGCTAACCTGCTTCATTCTTTCCCTGTCAATATTTGATAACAAAACTCATCATTCTATTCCACACATCTTCGGATCTCCGTAACATTTCCCTGTTTTACTCTCGCACAAAAATGTCTTACCTCTCGGCTCCCACTGCGTTTTTTGTAATCATCATGATCACCTACCTCTCACTCCTCCCTTCTGTACCAATTCTAGGTCCCCTGCTAAATGGCAAGCAGATATCGTGTCTCTACAAGATTAACATTTTCTCTATAAGCCTTTTTCCAAACGGTCGCTGAAACACCTTAAAGAGATAAAAAGAAGAAGATCGGTGAAAAAAAACGTAGATCTTCCATTGTTTCTTTTTACAGCAGCTTTTGTTGCGCTTTGGACCAGCGTTTTGAAAAAGAGTCCTCTTGACGGAATTATAGTTATGGAAACCTTGCATTATGGTCAACCTAATATTCGTTCCGGAAAGGTTCGAATATTTTAATGAATATATTTATATTTAATATTCATATCAAATATGTTGTGTTAGTGATTGTAAATAATCAGTCGTTCCTCATAGTGACCTGCCTCGCGCAGTCGATCGCAATCTCAGCGTGCGCGAGAAATGAGCGCTATAAAAGGCGCTCACTCGTAGCCTAGTAAATTCAATTGTTCACTTATTCGCCTCTCATATTTCTACAGTTCCTTTGTTATTCTCCAATAAAAATTCCTGCCTGATCCTGTGCCGACGATTCGAAGATACGAAGGTCGTCCGGGGTTGGAGGACACAACAGTGGCGATCAGGATCGACGGATACTACCGAAGAAGTAGCCGGAATCGGACGAAGCGTAACAGGATTCAAGTTCAAGAAGAATTTGCAAGGAGCCGATCTCGAAAGCTGGATTAATCGAGATGGCGAAAATAGGCACAGAAGACTTATTGATCATGTTCAAGGAACTGATCAGAGAAAATCAGAAGAGCCTCAGGGAACTGACGAGAGAAGAGAGGTAAGAGACGATGGAGACGTTTCTGAAGCACAACGAAGGTACTGGACAACCCAGTACGTCGTCGGAAGTTCCGAACATATTGTCAGCACTGAGCACCCGGATCGGAAAATTCTACTTCGATTCAGAAAAGGAGGAATGCTCCAGTAAATGGTACAAGGAAGTCTTCGTCGAAGATGCAAAACAGCTGACGGAGAGCGCCAGGGTAAGGCTTCTGTGCGAAAAGCTGGACAAGGAGGACAGTCTTGAAAAGTGTCAGAGACATGTACACCCGAAAGAAGTAACGGCGATTAAATTTGATGAAACGGTCCAAACACTGAAGCAACTGTTCGTAGTGAAGATTTCCGAATTTACAATGAGGTACCAGTGCTCAAAGCTGCAGAAGAACGACGCCGAAGATTACCTCATGTATAATGGAAGAGTGAACGAATTGTGCGAGAAAGCGAAAATTCACGAACTCGACAGCGATGGAATCAAATGCCTATTATAAATGTTTGGTCTGAAGAGCCAGAAAGAAGCCGAAATTAGACAGCGACTCATTGCCATTCTGGATAGGGAATACAAGGCGGACGAAAGATTTCGCTGCAGGTGTACCTAGAATGCGAAAATTTTCTGAGCCTCAAGAAGAATAGTGAGACTATAGCTGGATGCACGAAAATAGTCGAATCAACAAGCAAGGAGGAACCCAAAAACCTGGAATACTAAAACTATGGTAAATCTCTCTCTGCCAGGGAATGCAAAGCAAATTTTTGGTCCTGCAAGAAGTACAAGAAGATAGGTCATAAGAATCAGTTCTGCGAACAAGTGGCGGAGAAAAGACCACTTGCTCAAGCTTCAAAACAAGATTTTAAGCCAAGAATTTACAGAAGCAGTGATAGCAGTAAGAACAGAGGTGGGACGAAACAAAAACGTCAAGCGCATACAGGGTGGGGCAAAAGTCTGGGAGCCTAGTACCTTTTCAGATAAAATCAGAAGGAAAGTGCCTAGGAACAAAAAATTTGGTGCACGCATGAATCGAACCTTTACTAATACAGCGCTGCTTTCAAATTTTGAGATTGCCTCTTCTGGCTTCAAAGCAGCCCCTTGAAATCTTGGCGAGTCCGACTGTCGTGGCACGCAGACAGTGGTGATGAAATTCGTCCCACGCCTTTACGATAACTGTTTTTTTCACCAGGCAAATATGCGGTGTGATAGAGCAAGCTTTTGGCTACAACGCACTGCGAAGAAATTTTTTTTTCGCAGTGTTTAAGAAAAAATTTAGGATTTTAATTAAAGGCAATTATACTCGTATACTGGAAATCTGGATGCGATTGCACGAACGAGAGCGAAGAATCGTAATCTGAAAAGTATTGAAATTGCTTGATCGATCGATCACCAGTACACGCTTGCATAGAAGACTCATGGAAAGAATATAGCCTAGAATTCAGTGCCTGCTGTGCCCCTATAGCTTCAAAATTTATTCTAAAGAAAAATGGCCGCTGGCACGCAGCTGATATTCGCAAATTTTTACTTTGCGTTTTTGAAAGAATAGTATCTGACAAACGCAACGGCTAAGAATTAATAGCTCGAAGGCTCCTCTGCATTATACGCATCGAAATGCTTCAGAATACCCACTGTATCGTTAGTTACGAAATAAGTCGTGAAGGCCAAAAATTTCGATTTTCTCGTTTTGCAGAGCACTTGTTTGATAAATCCAACTCCTACAAAAAATATAGCAAGCATTTTCAGCCAGCCAAAGTATGTTTTGTAGAGGATGATCGCAGCAATATGTGGCACAAATTTGGAGTCAAAATCATCAGTAGTTTCTTGATTTACAGCACTGCAAAGTAGGCTCCCAGACTTTTGCCTCACCCTGTAATGTTGCGAAAATTGCGAACGCGATAATGGAAGTCAGCCGACACACATGTACGTCGAAGCAAAAGTGAATAGTCATCCAGTTAGTTTTCTATTAGATACTGGATCAGACATTACACTTTTGAACGAATCAATAGGAGAAGCATGGGCGCTACTCGATTGAAGAACACAAATGTAGTCGTCAAGAATGCTAGTGAAGGTTCCACAAGTGCATGGAAAGCTGTGGTGCGACTACGAGATCAAAGGATCCAGATGTAAAAGCTATTCATACGTGACGCCCCACAACTCTCTGCTAGGATTGGACTGGATCCAGAAGAACGAAGATATGGCCTATCATTAAAGCAGAATGGTTGCTGAAGTGAAGACAGAGCAAACCAAGGACATTGCTCTAAAGCTAAAAGAAGCCTATCCAGAAACCTGCAAGGAAGATTCAGGTCCTTGCACAAAGGAGAAAGCACACATGAGAATTGACGAAAACGTTCGTCCAGTAGCTCCCATCGTATGTGTCAGGAAGGCAAATGGAAAGCTGAGAGTGTGGCTGATTTCTCAACTGGACTCACAAGGGAAGTACTTTCAGTGGCCGTGGCTTTGGATATGAGATGCATATCATTTGAAGCAGCTTCGATCGCTGATTTTGAATCTACTTTCCTTTTCTGCGGAACACTCTTCTGAAGAGAGTTATGGAAGCCTGAATATCCTGTTTTGGGGAGCTCCTTGAGTTTGAGAGTGTTGCTAGTGCGTTGGTGGTGCAGTGGTGTAATGGTTAGTTGTTGGCCTTAAAGGCGAAAGGTTGATGGTTCGAATCGGGTTTGATTGAATTCATTTGAAAGGTTTTGAATTCATGCGAAACACCACTCCAATATTGTTTCCTTAGTAACTCAATGGGTACTTGCGAGCATGGAAATTGCGCGGAGGTTTCTTCATACGCTGTTTCCATTGTGAGAAATGTCTATGTTTCACTCACTTCGTAATTTCGCTTCACCTCTGTACATGAATTTTTTTGCGGAGAAAACCAAATCTCAACAAGCAAGCGGTTCTGCCAGAAGATCTTTTCGTTGAGTCACATTTGCCAAGGGCATTATTACAGCAAGTGTCTGCAGACGAGTTAGAGTGGTTTTTGAACTCACATTCGTAGCGCAAAATGGTACGCTCTGCACTGGATTCGAACCATCGGTCTTTCGCCCTCAATGCCAACAACTAACCATTAAACCACTCCACACCAACCCGCTAGCAGCGCTCTCAAACTCAAGGATCGCCCTAAAATAGGATTTTCAGGCCTCCGTAACTTTCTTCAGAAGGGCGTTCCGCAGAAAAGGAAAGCAGATTTAGAATCAGCGTTTGAAGCCGCTTCAGATGATATGCGTCTCATATCAAAAGGCCACGGCCATTGAAGTACCTTCCTCGTCAGTAAAGCGTTGGAGTCGTACGATTATCCGTTACCACCGCCAGAGGATATATTTTCATCGCTCAATGGAGGCATTTTCGCAGATAGATCTGTCGGACGCCTATCTGCAGATCGAGTTCTCAGAAGAAGCGAAAAATCTGGTAGTGACAAATACGCATAGAGGATTGTACCAGTACAATAGACTGCCTTCTGGAATAAAGACAGCACCAGGGATCTTTCAGCAAATCATGAACAAGATGGTGAGCGGTCTGCGAGGTGTAGCAACCTACTTAGACGACATCTTGGCTTGTGGAAGAACCGAAGAGGAACACATGGAAAACTTGTTGACTGTATTTTCGAGGATCGCTGAATACGGATCCCGAATTCGTTTGAAAAAATGTTCTTTTGGTAAGCCAGAGATACAATATCTTGGCCCGTAGTAAACTCCCTGTCAGCGCA